AAAATACATCTTAGTTACTAAACTTGATATATTAGTGGAATTCTATGGTATTAATGAAATCATTCATGATTTTTTAGTTATTCAAAAGTATATATAAAACCTAAAAAAATTATTTTGTTTCATATCCTCAATGTGCTAATTTTTGAAGGGCAACCTATGTCAAGCACCAACCATGTATAAAGGCTGTAACTAGAAGAGATAATTGGTTGCTTTACTTCTTTAGAATATTACTTTGCATGATAGATGGGCAACATGCAAAAAGAAAAAAGGCATGAGAAAAACATTGCTTTACAAACCTTAAGACTTGATAAAAAATTGCTATTTTGCATATGAAACATTGTAATGTTTACTGATAATCTGCCAAATTTCGTTAACATTTGCTTACTAATTTAAAAGTTATAGCATGAAAACTATAACAAGCACAAAATGGTTACGAGGTCAGTTCCAGGGACCAGGCCCATGTTAAAAGAGTTAAATCAACAGGACGTTATCACCTAATAATGATGCCTGAATTGGGTGATTATCAAAAACACCAATTAGAAAATTTGCAACTTACTTAATAATCTATTCCCAATTATCACAATTTTAACATTTTTACCTAAATCATGGTTTTTGAAGCCTTTACATTAGGGAAATAATATTTTTAAATAGAACTGTATGTTGCTCAATTGGTGGCTGATGTTTTTCTTTATAACTAGAACTATCCTTCATTACTTAGTACTCATCACATATTTATCAACATCCAAGAAAATCCAGTAGGACAAGAAACCTGACTAGCAACCTAACTAGGACTATCTACCTGAAATTGTTTATCCAATCTTTAAAATGAAGTTTTAAATTATTTTTACTTCCCAGAGATGAACCCCTAATGTGAAAACATGAGATTTTGATTATGGAAATTAAAATTTTCTCCACAGGATAACTGCCCCAAGTAAAAAATGTGTGATTTCAACAACTGAACATAATAATATGTGTGGGAAGACAAACAATAAATTTAATAACACTCCTCCAAAAAACCCATTGGAATATTAAAACACATCAAGCCATAGTAGGGCAAAACAGTCTTTTTCTTGCAATATTAAAAACAAACAAAAATACAATCTATTGAAGTTGAAACCAAATGACCAATAAATAACATATGATTACAGAGAAGTTATACAAACGTAAAACTAAAACAGTTTTACAGAACTTAAAGTACTATAATAATACTGTACATATTTAATAGAAAACAAGTTCACTTACAAATCTACAGATTTAACTCAGTCTTAATTCAGTGAAAAGTCAAAACATTAAAATATCACGAAAAGATATGCAACAAAGTTAAAGTATTAGGCCTAACAGTTTGACAATTTGAAATAGAGATGTTCATGTGCTATCATAGGCAAGTGTTGTTAAAGAGAAATCATGTTTAATCTTATCATACTTCTTGCAGAGCTGCAACTACTGTAAACAGCTGTTTCAAGGTTCTGACAATGTTACATGAAATTCCATAATCATGAAACACTACAATCATAAGAATAAACATTCAGTTACATTGCACTGATTGTTCATTATCACATAATAAACACCAGTAATAAGATACACTAAAATGTAAACAAGTTCTACAGGTTGAGGATTGTGCTGTGATTAGCAGTGGGACATGGATGAACAAACGCAAGTAAAAACATAAACCTTAAAAGTTAAAGTTTAAATGCAGAAAGGCAGAAAAACATTGGAAAAACCAAAAGGGCTAAAAGTTGTTATAAACATTAATTAACTGCAGTTTCTTTTGTTTTGTTTTTTTCCACAATCCTCTTAGTTTGTCCATTGCAGCTCAAAATCAGAAGTGTGTAAAAATAGCATTTCAGATCTATCTTTTGTTTCCTTCAAGTTGCTGGCCAGTAAGGTTTTCATCCAACAATGAAATTTTATCAGTTGAGTTGATTGATGAGAAACAAAACTATAACTTTTAAAGTATAATATTACATATATAAAACATGTTTCACAGAATCTTTTGTCTGCAGCTAATCTGTTTTTATAAGAAGCTGTCCGTATGTCACTAAAACTTATATAAACTAGAGATTGTGTACTGTGCTGTGATTATCAACTGATCAGTGAGACCAGCATAGTTAGCTTAAAAAAGGTGAAGGAAAGTTTCATGGTTCATAGGAAATTGACTAGTGATAATAACTAAAAAAGACGTAGAACAAAAATCCTATTTATCTGTCAATTCTCTTTCAAATTCTGATAAAGAAATGCTTCAAAATTGTTACTAATTATCTGATTAATCAATTTTATAGTTAATACATCATTTTTCTTTTATTTTTATTATTAACTTATTCACAACTAGTTGCAATCAGCTAATACATCAACTGAATTCTATTAACTCTTTCACAAGTTGCTCAATTCAACTGACCTCATCACCACTTTTGCACTTATTATATAACTTTTAATACACTTTGTGTATCTTCACAAAATTTTGCAGAATTTTAGTAAACATTACAAATCTTTTGTATAAAAAAAATCTGATCTTTAATCAAGTATTTTTACCACAAATTTGTCCATCAATATATATATATATATACACAGTATTTCTATATACTAGTTGGAGTGCTAAGTGATTTCTACATAAAGATTAGAAAAACTTTAATTCATCTCAAAAATCTCAAATTATATTTGCATTATCTCTAAAATCTTCTAAATAAATTCCAAACATATTTTTTTGGTAAAACTTTATATTTTATCTGTTATTTTCTCTACCCTAACTTTCTACAAGGTTGGTCAATGTGACCAACCTTGTAACCACCAAAAAAAAAAACTATCAAATAAATCTAAATTACCCTTTTTTTCTTTCTAGAATGACTTCAAATTGAAATATGAAACAACATTTGTTTATCCTAAATAGCCTCAAACTCATAACAGTATACATCTATTTATACATAAATTTTACAGTTTTATTGCCTTTTTTACCTTGTCTAACTACTATTTGCACCATTATAATTTGTAAATCACTTGGCAATCATGCAGCTCACATTATGCTATCGAATGACATTACGCATAAGCTAACTCGCAAGTATGCCACCTGAAAATTTTTGTTATATTATTATTTATTTTACTAATCTAACCTTAACTAACATAAAAAGTTCCTTATTTTTATGTTTTAGTTACTTTTATAATAAATTGAAAAAACAAGAAAAAGTATCTACCTGGGTTGTCTTCTTTTTTTTCTGCTGTCGACTTTTGACGATACTTAACTCTACTTTTTTATACTAATGGTAGTACTGCATTAAACAGTGTATTTAATCCTTTCAATGTGGCAGGTCAAAGGTCACGATCATATGACTTTAGAGAGCTATTTTTAAAATTTTATTAAATAGCTTTGCTATTACTTATGTCAAAGGGATTCACATCAAAACGAAGATTATATTTCACATTTTAATATTATATGCATTTTAATTTCTTACTTTAAAAGGAAATATAAAGAAAAAAATGATAAATATTATTTTTTGCATGTCACATAACACTTCCTCTTGTGTTATTGTTCAGTTTATAATTAATTACACCTACCACACAACGTATGCAGTAGTTAAAATATTAGAAACTCAAATTGGAGATATTGACAAGTTATAATTATAAATAAGAACCTCCTACCTCTTTGATTTGTCGAGATATAAGTATACTTAGCCAATCTAGTAGTCTGGCTCCTACTACTACTCCAGTCTTTCAAAACCTCTTGTCTAGTCCCACCTACTTATATTTTTCTAAGAGTTTATAACCTATAGAAAGAGCAGTTAGTTGTGTATGCAAGTCTTATAGTCATTTGTAAATAGCTTGAAGGGGAAAATCGTAATTTCACCTAAACTGTTAAAGTGTGATGTCTAAGTTGTTGCTCTGAAGAAAAACAGGATTTTTTAAAGCTTACATAAAGCTTGTTTAGACACCCA